GTATGTATATTCAGAAAATAAGTATTCATATCCCTATGAAAACAATAAAACTGTGGCTGATATGAATTCATAGGGGTCAGGATATGATGATTTCGCATTACTGAATACGTTTTACAGTGTACGTATGGGGGGAGACGGTTTAGTAAAGAGGGTTTAGGTATAGGCTGCAGTGGCTTGAGTTTTGTTTTCATTTGTATAGGGTCTATGCAGTACTCAATATTTTGGTTCATTTTGTGGACTATGTGTTTACCAAGTATTAACCATTCTATACTATGTTGCAGTTGTAGTATTGGCAACCTTAACGCCGGAGCAGTCACTTAAGTTGTTAATTAAATATTATACTTAAGGGGATGGGGAGGAGGTCAGGGCTGATAGGAATACACAGGGGTGAGGATATGATGGGTTGTACTGTACAGTTACTTTTAAATCATTCGGTTTACTTATTAGGTTTCTACGGTATTCATATGGGGGTTACGGTTTGGTAAAGGAGGTTTGGGTATAGGCTGCAGTGGCTTAGTTTTAGTTTTTAATTATAAGTGGGTATTGTGGTACTTAATATTTTAGTTTCATGTTCGGGTGTGTTTATTAGGTGTTGTATACTATGTTTCACTTGTAGTACTGACACACTTATCACCGGAGCTATGTTACACTTGTACTACTGACACACTGGCCGCAGGAGGAGTGACTTAAGTAGTTGTTCAAATGTTATACTTAAGGAGATAGGGAGGGTGTACAGGGGTCTTTTGGTTACTGTTTAGTATAAGGGCCTTGGTTATTCGTTACAGTTGGTTGGGTTTACGATGTCCAGTTAGTAGAGTGTTTATATCACCTATACTATCTTCTACCTATAGAATTGTGGAATGTAAACCTGGAACGTGAAGGAAATTCTTCTGAGTTCCTTTGGTTTACTTTCACTTACTTAGTTTCTAGCATCGTACCATACTATTTTATAACTATAGTATTTGAGATTGCCAACCGGAGAGGTGAAGTAATGTGTTTCTGAAAGTAAAAATGAAGTAGCAGGTTTAAACATAAGGAGGGCGTCCTATTAATATCAAACAAAGGAAGGTCTTCTGGGCTTACAGTATGTACATGGCCAGCTGGACCGTATTCATAAATGTAACCACTGTTTTCGTTTACAAGTCATACTAAATATTTGGGTATATTACATTTCCTACATATACCATTATATTTAGTACACAATATGATAGACAAAACATAGCTGCTGGCCTTTCTTTCCTACACGCCTTGTATAGTTGCTTATTAGCCCGGTCCCAAAAAATCTGCAATCTCGGACCTCCTTCCTACACCCGCTTGTCCTAATTATCTTATTCTGCATTGCGAGAAGATGCCTTGTTGTGCCCCTGTTGGCGACAACGACTAAATCTCTTGCCTGTTTTCTTCCCTTTCTGATAAGAATGACAGTGTCAGAAGCATTCATCTGTTATATTCTAGGATAACCATTTATATAATATAGTATCAATTAATAGATATAATAAGCAGCACTAACTTTCGGTTCTCCCATTGACATATATCGGACCTTCTTAGGCCTGCCTGGGGGTCAGTGCACATTCGGTGGTATTAGGTCGCCACTAAATGCTCCTCCGATAACATTACTTCCAACCGATGGTACAAGACAAATATTTCCCTCGAATCCACGCTTCCATGTGTCGGCATAGTATGCAGTTGCAACAAAGGCATCTGTTTGCAATTCTATAATATTTGTTCATGCGAGTGCATGTCTGCAAGGGATTCCAACTGTTTGGAACTCCATGCAAGAACATGTGCCCTCCATTAGATTGACAGAGTAACACTCACCCTCTGGAGCCTGTACTTGAAACTCAACCCCACTTATAGCTCTCACTACTAAACATGTAGATTTCTCAAAGTTTTCTCCACTCTTATTCTCGCATGAGGGGTAATTATCCTGTTGTACCTTATTGCTCTGGCACGTCTCAGAGCAAACCAACACATGACGGCCGTTCTTATGTATTCGAGCATGCAGATCAATGGATATTCTCTGGCCTCTTTAAGTACCGCATTCCAGGACTCGGCGATATTAGTGTCCATGATGTTGTATCGGCGTCTTTTGAAATGTGCTCTGGTCCAATGGTCAAATTATATATTACGTAACAATGTAGTATAGTATAGAAATTATAGGCTATAACTTATTGAATGTTTATACAAACTTACTGATGTCAACAAGATAAGACGCACATCCGGGGTTCAACCCCTGGATATCAATGAATTTTTTATCGAAGTCATTGACAGCATCTTTCACCATACTTGCAAGGTGCTTGGGTTGGTAAGAAGCACGGACATTACGCCACAGATGTACCGTACATGCGGCATGATGGGCCATAGGAAACACCTGCAATATCAATGGAGAGTTATGTCAATTATCTATACTATATCAACAATATGTACACTGAATTAATAATATAGTACCGTAAATGGAGGTGTAGAATGTATATTATCTACTCTAATTCAGTGGACTTACTTTAGATAATCCTGCATATATGCTTGAATGTCTATCATATATAAAGACAAGGTCGGTCGAATATTACACAAATGTACTTAACTTCTGGAAAAACCATTTCCATGCATCCTCATTCTCACTATGCACTATCCCATATGCTAGGGGGAATATCTAGAAGTTTGCATCTTGCGCTGATGCAGAGACAAGGCAACCACCATAGCATCCCTTTAGACTTGTCCCATCAATGATAATTACTTTCCGCATGTAAGGCCACCCATTGATTAAGGCACTGAACGCGATGAAACAGTATTAGAACCTCGACCCGCCTTCTGAATTTTCCATTATCTCAAGGAAGCAAAGAGTACCTGGGTTATAAGCTTTCAGTAGAGCCAGATACACTGGCATTAGCGCATAACTACCAGCCATAGAACTGTAATGTTTCTCCATTGCTATCTCCCTCGACCTCCATGATTTCCAGTATGACACATTAACATGAAAATCATCAAGCATAATCTTTCGCACACCAGTTGCGGAAGGTCCTCTTTTACAGCCAACGAATTGTCTTTTCATTATCTCTCGTATAACTTGAGCAGTCACAAGTCGGTGGTAATTGCACCTTGTGTCAATGGTACAAGTATGCTTTAGTGTCGCGGATCTTGTTTGGAAATTTCCAGACTTATCCAACTTCACGGCATATACTCTCCAGGGGCAATTTCGGTCGACACATTTTACGACCATGAACGTAGGGGTTGATCTTGTAGTTCGGAAGTGGAACTTGCGATTTATAGCATGAATAGCTACTTTGATTTTGCAATCGACCTTTAATTTGAGCACCCTTCCAATGAATAAGTTATCACCTTCGTAGAGGACATCACCCAATGTATTATGAACCTCTGCAGTTGGTCACAAATGGGGATCAAATTGCAGGACAAATTAGAATATTCAACTATTTCATGAATATAGTACAGTAGACAATATGTCGTACATACTTTTGCAGCTATAGTAGCCGTACATATCGAGGAGATCACTTCGGTTATGAGATTCTTACCCTGACATTCGACCATATCGAAAACCGGAGGAGCGTCTCTTGCAAAAAGCACCGGGTCGCTGCTGTTGCCACTGAGCATTGCGTGTAGAGACTCCTAAAACCATCCCTAAGTGATAAATGTCGAGGTCCCTTCAGCAGAAGCAATGTCCGCTGCTTCATCATCCTCGGACTCACAGTTGGACTCCTCCTCCTCATTTGAATCGTAGAATAGCCTCCTCCTGACAGCAGCAACAAACCGTTGATCTGTTGGAGTCCTTTGTGTGTTGATATCATCGCTGTCAGAATCAGTAGAGTTATGGGGTGCAGGACGTTTACCCTTATTTGTTAGGGAATAACTATGAAGGCTTAGAGGGAGAATTGGTATATCTCCTTCTCTAATATTTATATTAGTCGCTTTACGTAGTATAGTATTCTAGGGCATCTTAGTATTTTTCGAATAAATGGACATCTGTGTTGTAGAGAAAGTGAGAGGTGTTTCTGACATGGCAAACTCGTACTAATGCTCTTCATGGTCTGAATCTTGTTCTGCACGACCTGGTTGGGCTGCATTATCAGTTGTTGATTGAGGGTGTATTTGTCCCACGGCCATTTCTACTCCGTCCACAAATCGGCTTACTGTAACACAGAGACTAACTTATAGTTCACCTCATTTCCAGAAACACAGCTACCTCATTGTCTTATGTTATTTACTGCGGTTTGGACCCATCCGCATCATCAATCTCCAACCAAGCAGGGTATGGGTAAGAGAGTTTGACAGAGATGTTTGATGCCGTCAACTGTAGGTTCTCTTTGACGTCGTTCACCAGTTCAGAGTGACTCATCCCGGTCCATAGCTGTATGGTACTCATTCCTTCGTTGGGTGAGGACTCAAATACCCATTTTCTAGTCGAATGTCGAATCCACTTCCCACAAACAACATGAACGGTGTCCTGATCTTCCATCTGTAAAACAAAACGATTTCGTTTTATTACGTGATAAATATAGTGTAGAACAGACAATGGAAGTTCATGGTATACAAAATATTTGAAGTATCATGACGGAAAAGTCTTATATAGTTTTCTACAACAGTCAATCCATACTATTTGCAATTAAATTGACTGACATTGATTTAATGGAGGTATTTGTTGCTTCTGTATTTACTGAAAAATTGCTCAGATCTACGATGATACTACTGAAAAAAACGGTATTTACAAAGTATTAACAGAGGCAACTGATTTTAATACAGAGGGGGAAGCATATCAGTCACACAAATTAAGGTTAAGAGTTCTTCAATTGGTGGGTAATTAGATGTCATGGTTAGATTACTAAATGTGTGGATCTCCTTTAAAGGCTACAGTGGTGTGGGCGTCATATCAAAGGAGCTAGTAAATGGTTTTTCCGCTCATCTGGACGAGGGTAGTTTCTTCATTCTTTTTGGACCATGGTTATTTTCTACGTTTCGTATCTCATATGACTATATTGTTAATTTTGGGCTCAAATATGGTTATCAGGCACGACTTGAGACTCAGCAATGGCAGAGATTGCAAGACACCCAAGAGTGATGAAGAAAGTACAAATCGAGATCAGTGAACATATAGGAGACAAAAGCAAAGTGATGTACAATGATCTAGAGTACATGAAAATGGTGATCAAGGAGACTTGGAGGCTACACGCACCGAGTCCGATTCTTATTCCAAGAGAGGTAATGTCCAAATCCAAGATCAAAGGCTACGACATTTACCCTGGAATTCGGATTCACGTCAATACATGAGCCATTGGACGAAACCCTAACGTGTGTGGAAAGATCCTGATGAATTTATCCCGGAGAGATTTGTGGATAGAAATGTGGAGACGAAAGGGACGAGTTTTGAGCTCTTGCCGAGCGGACGGAGAGGTTGTCCGACGATATACGTGGGGCTAAATACGGTGGAGTATACGTTGGCAAATTTTTTGTACCATTTTGATTGGAAACTGGTGGAGGAAGTGAGCATTGAAGAGGCTCCTGGTCTCACTAGCCATAGGAAGCATGCTCTGCATCTTGTACCTGTTAACGTCATTAACAGCAAGTCTTAAAGAGTTTGGGAAACGCAAACGCAGTTTGCAAAGGATAAAGAATGCTTTGGTTTCTGTAAGAAAAACTATACTTTTTGAGTTTTGCAAGACACAACGAAAAAGGAACCCTTTATTCAACATCAGATAACTTTACTGTTCAAAACAAAGTAAAATATCATCTAAAAAACACCGCAACTTTTGAGACCTTATTAAGAAACCAGAAGAAACAACTTTAGGATCTCTCACTCTCTTTCTCTTTCTCTCATTCTCCAAAGTTTTCATCTACGAAGAAGAATTCGTCTGCACCCATTCGACAAGCGTCGCAACACCAAACCCAGTCCCAGACTTCTTCTTCTCGTTCCAAACCGGTCCAGCCATATCTATATGCATCCATTGCACCTTCTCGCTCACAAACTTTGAGAGAAAAGATACCAGGATGGTTTTAGTCATATTCACCATTTTTGTTGGTATCAGAAAACATGTATTGAAGAGAGACTTTGTTTTCACCTGTTTCAAGAAGAGAGCTGCTGTGATTGAGCCTCCCGCACGCCCGCCTGTGTTGACCATATCAGCAACTCCAGACTTCATCATCTCCCAATAGCTCTCTTCTAATGGCATCCTCCACAGCTTCTCTCCACTCTTCTCCGATGCAGCTATCACTTCCTTTGCAAGCTCGTCGCTAGGTGTGTAGATCCCTGACACCGAACAATCATGATGAGCCAATATTGATTACAGAATCCCAACTCAAGAAGCGCCATAAAGATCAGCTATGTACCTGCCATTGATGTTCCAAGAGCAATAACGCAGGCTCCGGTCAACGTAGCAAGGTCAACTATCTGCAAGTTATATCTGACGATCATGAACCACAAACAATCTTCTCTTGTAAATAAAGCAAAGAAAAACCAATGTGATACCTTGTCGACGCCTTGGTTACAAGCATACACTAGAGCATCTGCAAGTGTTAGACGACCTTCAGCATCTGTGTTGTTGACCTGATGAAATCACCAGTGTCAACAATTAGCATGGCACAGGAAGAAAACAGCAAATGGTTGAACCTTTCGAAGCTTTGATACCTCAATGGTCTTGCCGTTCGAGGCTGTGATGACATCTCCAGGTCTCATTCCAGTTCCACTAATCATATTCTCACAGGCTGCAACGATGAAATGAACCTGATTGTGGAAGATCAATTGTTTAGTTACCTTAAAAAAACAAAAAACAAAAAAACTCTAGCTTTTATCTGATGGGAGAAGCTTACCTCAACACCAGGAGGCTTAATCTCACCAATGGCCTTAGCAGCACCAAGAACCGCAGCTGAACCGCCCATGTCGAATTTCATGAGCTCAATTGAGCAGCCAGGTCCAGTCTTAATGTTGTAGCCACCACTGTGAAACACAAGTCATTCGTTTCAACACGAAAAGAGAGAGACCAAATACGTTCAAAGCAAGGCTCTTAAGTGATTGATTAGATTACCTGTCAAAGGTCAATCCTTTTCCAACAAGAGCAAGTTTTTTCGTAACGGAGCCACTCGAAGGTTTGTAAACAAGGTGGATGAAGAAAGGAGGATTAGCAGACGCAGCAGCAACAGCTAGATAAGATCCCATCTTCAACTCTCTGCATTGCTCCTCGTTCAAGATGTTCGCAGTGAAGACATCACTGTAGGTAGAAGCCACTTTCGCTGCTTCCTCAGCTAGTACAGCTGAAACAGATAAAAAAAAACCATCGCAGATCAGAACATGAGAGTGTGAACACCATGAACGTTCAAGGGAAACTGATCTATACCAGGAGTAAGCACATTGGCAGGAGAATTAATGAGCTCTCTCCCGAAAATCACGCCGTAAGAAACATCTTCAGCATACTTGAGCTTCTTCTCTAGCTCAGGTCCAGTTCCGAATCCAATGATATCCACAGATTTCAAAGATGGCTTCTTTGATTCAGATCTATACCTCACATCTTCGAACAAACCGAGCACTACGCCTATTCACAAGTAAAAGAATTAACCACACAAATCAGTTCTAAAGACTCGAGAACTTGTGTTTATACACTAAAAATTGAAGAATATGAAGTTTACCTGAAGCTATAGCTGATGCAGAAGTAAGCTTGGATTCGATCTCAGGGGAGGCAAGCAAAATAGCGACGCTGCTAGATTGAGAAGCTTTCGACACTGTAGCAACAGCTTCACCGAGGCTCTGAAAAGCCGCCGGAAAAGAAACGGATTTTCCGAGACCGATTAAACCGATCCGTTTCGATCCTAAACCGGAAAGCCTAAGAACCGTTGACTGACCAGGTTTCCCGGTGAAGTCTTCCTCGGAAGAGACTAAAGCTAAAAGTCCACTAGTGTGAGCATCGAGCTTGTTCAATATCGGATTCTCAAACTTTGAATGATCGTCTTTCGCTAAATCTTTCTCAGTCACACCGACGAAGAGTATGTCTCCTTTCCACTCCGTTACATCGATCTCCTTCGCAGCGAACGAGATCTGCTCAGAAATCCAAAATCGGGTCAACAAAACATCGATTAAAAAAAAAAAAAAAAAGCAGAATCTATGGATCGCTGAATCGGAACTAAGTAAAATTCAAATCGATAGGAAACCAGAGAAACAAACAAACCTTGGGAAGCTCAGTGGAGTTGGGTTTAGTGAGGCCGAGATTGTGAGTCATGATGGCTTTGGCTTTTGATGAACAGTAAGGAGCTGTGACTGAGGAAGACGAAGGAAGAGGAAAGGAGAAGAAGAGAAAGCAATGAAAGTGACGGCCATTCAAAGCCGTCAGAGCAATCGTTATATATAGAAGAAGAAGATAAACATCTTTGACGATGATGATTTACTGTCCGACCCAATTCAATACGGGTTCTATATCCGACCCGGCTATCTACAAATGCTTATCAGCTTAATAGAATCAAACAAAACTAAAACCGTACCAAATTCAAACAAATCGAATCAAAATTATTTTTATTTGAGTTTTTTTTTATACTTCCTCCATTTCATTTCATAAAAAGTATTTATAAAAACTGTTATTCTCTATTTTCAAATTTCAATACAAAATTTAAAATAAAAATCCAATTTTAACTTTACTAATTTAATATTTTAATTAAAAATGTTTTTTATTGCATAAGAGATAAAACAGAATTTTTAATAACTTATTTAGAAAGAGTAGTTTTTTTTATAGTGTTACTAACAAGTGTAAGTGAACTAACTAACAAAATGAATCTTGAGAAAACAAAGAGAATATTTGCTTTTCTGATTCATTTAAAGTTTCAAGTAAAAACCCAAATATTTGGATAAACTATTTCATAATCCCATGACCATCGTATAAAAAAAATCGCATTATCAACATTAAGGCCTACAAAACGACTATATATTATAGTCACATCCTTCATTAATTTCATTATTTTCTTTCTGCACACATTTTAAATGCTGCGCTACAAAACCAGTTCACCTACTCGCATATATTAAAACAAAACATCATAACCTTAAAAAAAAAAAAAAAAAAAAAGACAATGACTAGTCAAACATGGAGCTTAGTCGATATCTGATACTCTTTTTTCTTTTCTAATTTGTTCTTTCAACAACGGTCTAACTGAAACATCTTTTATTTTTTATTTATTTAAAGCCGACTTCATAGTTTTTTAAACAAAATAATAATAAAATCAAATGAAATTATCCCATGGATTATGAATATGGACAAATCTTTATAAGTGCAAATGATGGTAACTGAGAGGAATTAGAGGAATAATTATTAGTGGAAAAAAAGAAGTAGAATAATATGTTTTTCTTTTGATTTTTTTCAACTCATTTCTTCTATATTTTATAAAGTCAGAGGAACAAATGTTATTTTTTCCTTTTTGTATGGGATCCATTATAAATTAGAGGAATGCAATTAAGTGATAAATAATGAATATTTAGAGGAATAAAGAGTAATTGATGTTTTACTTCAGTTTTGTTCTTCTAACCTAACAATCATTTGCACTCTATATCTTTGATTATTGTTGAATTAGAAAATTACCACTAATGATTTGATTGACAATTGTGGTTTTCAGAGAATAAGATCTTTTATTAATAGTTATAAAGCGAAGCGATTATAAAAGATAGCTAAACCGAGAGATTATGCTGAAGTGAAAAGAAAGTGTTTGCAAAGTAAACTAGAAAGCGTTGGAGTTCTTAGTTTTTACTCTGCTGTTCTCTCGATTGTATAGTTGTTCCCTTTTAGCTTCGGGTCTTCTTATTTATAGGGATAGGAGGTCGGTTGCTCCAAACTCTTTTTCTTTTTTCCCTTTGGTGAATATCTCTTGTTCTCTGAAAAATATGGGAATTCTCCTTTATCCTTTACGTTGATCCGATGCTTCCGGATTCCAAGATTATCCTTTAAGAGATTTCCTTTTCACCAAGCTAAGTCAGCATAGTTTTCTTGGTCTTGGTGGGCTTAGGTTATTGCTAGAGAAAGCTTTTCAGAAAATATGCTCATTTCCCCTCTAACAGTAAGTCTCCCTTCCCCCAGTTCGGCGAGACTGATTGTAAATCAGGTCAACAGACTTCATGAAGTTAAGAGGGTTTGATCTCGCAATAAGGTGTTAGCTCGTCAAGAGTGTTTCTTCGCGATGGCCAGCTCGGCCCGATTTAAATGGATTTGACGCGTGGCTCTTCTTTGGAATAATTTATTAAATATTCTGACCTATTAGGGTTTTGCTTTAAGCAGGAAAGGCGAAAGGTTCGCCAGACGATGAGATTGTGCGAATCTCGACACAGGCCCCTTTAGGAAACTGTTGATATTTTCTTCTGATTTTATTACTTAGTCTTTATCTCTTCGTCTTCTTACTCCAAAAAAATTACTCTCTCTCTCTCCGAATCTCGCGATAATCTCCTTTGCTTAACGATTCTCTTTCTTCTCCTTTTGATTTTGGATCTTGGTTGAGCGTACCTTTCTAGAGGCATAGGGCTAGCGAAGAGAGACAAGATTCCTTCGTTGGACATCGACATCCCCGATTTCCCTCCGAGTAAGAAGCCCAGATCAGAGGATCCGCCGCAAGATCCAATCGTCGTCGAAGATATTCCACTAAGCGAGCCTGACGTGGCTGTTGCGAGCGAGCGATCATCTCCAAAAATTCCAACGGAAGATTTGGAGGTTGAATCGCCAATCGAGGAGCAAGACTCCGTCTTTGTGACGGCGGAAGAGCAAAAATTTAACCTGCCAGGTCCAACGAGCAGCTCGCTGAAGGACCCAGAAAATGCTGATGAGGAGCCTGGTTTCAATCCTCACGAATTCTTGCTTCGCTGGAGCGGGGATTCCCCGGCAATGTTTAATGAATACTTCTCAGCGAATCTGGTCTGGCAATGCTGGGCGAAGCCAAACCAAGGGGTGTCGGTAGAAAAACTGAGGCGGTTTGATTGCTTCTTTGCAATGGCTCAACGCTTCGTGCAGGGTTTAGGTCTATGCGCTTTCTTGATTAACTCGTATGATCGAGAATCGGTGCGAGAAGAAAAGAAAGACGAGAAATTAAAAGTTAAAGATCGAGAGCTTCGCCATGCTTTGGCGAAGATCAAATAACTCGAGCACGAGAAGCTCAGTGAGGAGATTAAATATCAAGCTCTTAAGGTCGAATCTGCTAAAGAAAGACAACTCCACTGAGAAAGTTTGGAGAAGATCTCGGCCAAAGAAACCAAGAAAGCTACTGCTGCTGAGAAGGAGTTCCAAGGTCAACAACGCAAATCTATTGAGCATGTCGACGACCTGATGTACCAACGTTTGCACGAGTGGTACAACCCCCGCATTGAGCGGATTAAGGCGTTCATGGTGCAGGAGCCCGACATCCATTGGCTCGAGCTTAAGATCGTTGATGCCGAGGCGAGAGCGGATTGCTACAAGCGACTGAGGTCAGTGGGACACGAGGTTTCGGTTAAAGAACTTCTGTCCCACTCTGCTAATGCCAACTGTTTGAAGATGGAGCGTCAGGGGACCAAGGATGCTCCGCTTACTTAGGATGACTTCGCCGCTCCAACGCGAGTTCATATACGACCTTCTCATTCAGAGTTGAAAGCGGGCGGGATTCAAGTGCCGAAGCGGCGTTGAGCTTTCTTTGTAATGATTTTTGTGGTTGTCTCTTTATTTTGTTTTTAGAAAATCTATGCGAGACAAATGCTTCTTTTTTTTTAATAAATCAAATTTGACATTTTATTTTCAATGCTTTTGTTTACGCTCGTTGATGAGGTGATCTTTAATTTTAAGGATTTTTGTGAAGTTAAAAAGTTTCTTTTGCCTTGCGGTGCGGGGCATTCTTTAGGCCGGTGCTGGAAGCGAAATTCATTCGCTCGTCTTATACCAAACGACAATCAAGATCGAATACCAAGCTTTCAAGATTCTCTTCAGCCTGAAATGTATGATCGAGGGTCGTGCGAGTGTTGTCCCCGGCTTTCGTTTTATCCACTTTGGAAGTAATTAAATTGAACCGTAGTATCAAAGGAGTGGTGATCAGCCACTAATTTAGTTTTTGCTTTTGCTTTTTCAAATCGAATGTTTGGCCAGAACATCGATTCAGTAAGATACATTCGCATAAGGGGATATTACAATACGTGTCGAGCTCATTTTTTGGTCAATTTAGACCAGTAATTCTCCTTTACTTTGAACACTAAGCTGGTTAACAAATTTAAAGGTAATTTTATTAGGATAGTGACTGAACCCAAAGGCTACCTACGTATTGAGCGGATTAAGGCGTTCATGGCGCAGGAGCCCGACATCCATCGGCTCGAGCTTAAGATCGTTGATGCCGAGGCGAGAGCGGATTGCTACAAGCGACTGAGGTCGGTGGGACACGAGGTTCCGGTTAAAGAACTTCTGTCCCACTCTACTAATGCCGACCGTTTAAAGATGGAGCGTCACAGGATCAAGGATGCTCCGCTTACTTAGGATGACTTCGCCGCTCCAACACGAGTTCATATACGACCTTCTTATTCGGAGTTGGAAGCGATCGAGATTCAAGTGCCGAAGCAGCGTTGAGCTTTCTTTGTAATGATTTTTGTAATTGTCTCTTTTTTTGTTTTTAGAAAATGTATGCGAGACAAATGCTTCTTTTTCTTTTAATGAATCAAATTTGACAGTTTATTTTTAATGCTTTTGTTTACGCTCGTTGATGAGATGATCATTAATTTTAAGGATTTTTGCGAAGTTAAAAAGTTTCTTTTGCCTTGCGGTGCAGAGCATTCTTTAGGCTAGTGCTGGAAGCAAGATTCATTCGCTCTTCTTATACCAAACGACAATCAAGATCGAATACCAAGCTTTCAGGATTCTCTTCAGCCTGAAATGTATGATCGAGGATCGTTGAAGTGTTGTCCCCGGCTTTCGTCTTATCCACTTTGAAAGTAATTAAAATGAACCGTAGTATCAAAGGAGTGGTGATCAGCCACTAATTTAGTTTTTGCTTTTGCTTTTTCGAATCGAATGTTTGGCCAGAACATCGATTTAGCAAGATACATTCGCATAAGGGGATATTACAATACGTGTCGAGCTCATTTTTTGGTCAATTTAGACCAGTAATTCTCCTTTACTTTGAACACTAAGCTGGTTAACAAATTTAAAGGTAATTTTATTAGGATAGTGACTGAACCCAAAGGCTACCTACGTATTGAGCGGATTAAGGCGTTCATGGCGCAGGAGCCCGACATCCATCGGCTCGAGCTTAAGATCGTTGATGTCGAGGCGAGAGCGGATTGCTACAAGCGACTGAGGTCGGTGGGACACGAGGTTCCGGTTAAGAAACTTCTGTCCCACTCTGCTAATGTCGACCGTTTAAAGATGGAGCGTCACAGGATCAAGGATGCTCCGCTTACTTAGGATGACTTCGCCGCTCCAACACGAGTTCATATACGACCTTCTTATTCGGAGT